GTTCTTACTAGAGTAGATCCAGTAAATCAAAAGTGCTTACATAAGTGCTGATTTATTAATTCCAACTGATTCAATCTGTCTGATTTACCTTTAGTTTAACCATTGCATTTAACTAAAAAAAACTCTGAAAATAAAAATGATATCCGAGTTATAACCGCTCCACAGGAAAAGAAAAGAATGCTACCACCCAGGAAATACATAAATTTACAGATTCCTTTCTGTTTGTAGAAGAAAGGAAAACCTATTCTCCAAGGAACTTGAAATATCAATGATTTCATTTAGAACAGAATTATTTCCCCATAACTTTGGTCGAGTGTCACCACCGCCTCTTTCCCATTTTAAAATTTAAATAGAACATAGGAGCCAGTTGCCTTGGGAGGGTCTAATGATTAGGACCAAGTTCTCCTTGGAGGAATTTTGACTCCTTGTTAATTAGTTGGTTTTGAGTGGGAGCTGAGCTGTTTCAGAAACTTCTATTTTGCCATCAGTAAAGTGTGATTTCCTAATAAATTTCCATCAAGCAAACTATTTCTGGTAACTCCCCCTAATTAACACCAGGTTGCTAATAATAAATTAGGCTCTATGTGTTTCTGATATAACCAAGATCTTGTCTGTGCACAAGATATTAACGTCCCCAGAAAAGTAAAACTCCAGCCTAAATTAAGCTTTTGCTGGTTAAAAGAATTTATGCACCGTTCTGTAAGAAAGACTTTGAAGATCTTTAACACATGACATTTCAACCAGCAAACTTCTGACTGAAAGATTTGTTCTAGGTTGAGCAATGAAAGGGGATTTATTGTGAAAACACACTGTTGAGTTTGAAGGCTATAAATACTACACTAGATTACAGTTTCTTAATGAATGAATGACAGATCTCTTATTTTTGTTTCTCATTGCATTTTTATGTTAAATTATATTGTGGGCTGATAGAAACCAACCCTCTGCTGTTAAAATGTCAAACACAGCCTTGATGCCTTTAAGAGTTTGGCTTCTGGAGTTTAATATACTGTTTGCAAATAGACTTGCATTTGTCTTTAATTGTAGCCTAAACACTTGGAGCAGAGGCTGGATTCCTGTAAAGCTGCCTCTAGTTTTTCATAGTTACGCAGTGTTCCCTTTTCCTTGTGCAAACAAGGTAGACAACAACAGTGCATTCTCCCAGTCAAAAGATACCCAGCTCATAAGAATCTTATGAGGCTACTGTTATCATGGAGTAATTGACCATGCTACTATAGATGGTTAAGTATCCTAAGGTGAAATCAGAGAATGCTCTGTGCTGAGGCTAAATACAGTATCAGATAAACCTAGTTCAGGGAGATAGAATTGCAGTTACTATTTACTGTCTCCAATTTAAACAGCAAGTCAGACAATCTTGCTTACAATTCTATCAAAATGTTCTGTTTTCTGCCTAGGACAGGGAGAGGATGGGGAAAGATGATATTAAAGGTAAACAGGATATGAATCATTAATTTCAGACAAAATACTATAATATTTTAAGGAACATTTTTAAAATGACAATTAAAAAATCCATGCAGCTCTACAATCATTTTTATTTATTTGTGCCCATATCAGGTTGCTGACTATTTTCTGTGACAATTGGATCCAGATACCACTTGCTACAGAAGTGTAGAAATGCGTTTCAATAACAGAGCCAAACAATTTTAATAGTAATGATAACAAAGCAAAATAAAAAGGAATGAAATAAGAATAGCCATAGAGGTCATCAGAACCTACTGAATACAACAATCTAGGAAATGTAATATAATCTCCATTCAACTTCCTTCTAGACATCAGATGACCGCATTTGATACTCGTAAATATTGGCAAGACTGGAGTGCAGAAATTCCTTGCATTTGCTTTTGCTCTGAAACAAATGGAAGTTTAAATAATCTATTTACAGAAAATGATGTTCTTAAAACTATCAGCTCAAGTCGATCATACATCTTAATATTTGCTACTTATAACCTAGTCTGAATTTCAACTCTTCCTTCTGAAATAAATGGCCAAATTTACTTTTTTTAAAGCATGTAAGCAAATATACCACTTTGATTGGGAATTTTACACCTCTCATTTAAAAACACAAACAAAACTACTCAAACATTTCAGAAGACATGGTGACAGAACTGCTTAAACTCTGGCCATTCCCTGCTAAGGTTAAAGTCATTTTCAATACTATTTTGAAAGTTATACCACCTCCAGTGGTCTGTGGGATGATTAAATTTACTGCATTGTTACCATGGTAGAAAATGGAGAAAATGACACATTGAAACAATCAAGAAATAAATGAGTAAAGCTTCTAAAACAACATCAGATATACTATGTTGGATCCAGATATAGTCATGCGTAGAACAGACCCAAATGAATGGATGGCAAGACTAACTTGAGTTTCTGATTTCTTTCAACGGGTCTTCTAAGGATGACTATATCTGGATCCACCCTCAATATTTGCAGAAGTGTCCCACCACAAAATAAATATTTCAGTGAAAGACAACATTATTGGAATGAAGCGCAGTGCTAAGATCTTGGCTAGCTCTATAAAACCATGATATAAACTTTTAACTCTGCTTTTGATTAAATGCGGGGGTTTTGATTTCTCTATGAATTACTTATATTTTGTTCTTTTCCCATTTGCTTTGTGGAATTTTCTAGAGGCCAAATGGGAAATCTAATAAATTATAGAATATATTTCAATGAATGCAGACAAGTATTAGCTGCATTGTACACGTAGTCACTTGGCTAAGTCAGCCCCTTGCATTATCCTGCCATGTATGCAGGACTGTACCCGAGCCAAAACCTAGTCAAATTGTAAAACTGTCTCTCATCACTTGGTTAGACAATAACAATTCTTGGATTAGCAAGATGTTGGATGCAAACCATGGCACACTAATGTACATCATCACCTATATTCATTAACACAACCCACAGCTACGTCTAAAGCTAACCCTTTCTATTCAAATAGTATGCATTGGACCATCCAGATTATATATTCACAATCACATCAGGTTTCTTTTAGTCTGGAGTAGTGTAACTCAGCAATGTAATAAACCGACAAGAGCCCACGTTGTGTTGACTTGTACCTCATTTAAACCATACCCACTTACGCTCCACTTATGGTATCAAACCAGAATTTTTATATTCAGCCATAGGATCAATTGGACCCTGGGTCTGCATTTGTTTTTGTTTTTTAATATCCACAATCTGAAATAGTTTTTATAGTATTAGTTGTGACTTTTTTAACAGTAAAGACATGTTTTAAAGAAATTACTTCAAAGGAAATGTTTTTAAAGTTAATATGTGAAAGTCGATTTTTACAATGATAGTTAGTCATAAGTTCCACATCCATGGTTTGAAAACACTTTTTAAAAGGTCGCCCAAAGAAATCTTGACTTTGCCATTTTATGTAAGGGACAACATTTTACTATGCCATTGTATATAATACAACTTGAACATCCATGGATTTTGGTATTCATTGGAGGTTCTGGAATCTAACCCCAGCAGCTATCAAGGACCCACTATAATACCAAAAAGCTACTTTAGACACAAAATACTGAAGACACATGTTACATTTTTTCAATTCAACTCACTGCAGAACAATGATAAAAAGGAGCTGGCATTTTATGTTGAGTATACTTGGCAGTGAAACAGCTCACCATTTCTAAAGCCAACATTGCCTTGCTGGAAAAGAAAACCATTACATTCTTTATCCAAAATACTCCTAAATTCAATTTTGTTCATGTGTGTGGTTGAAATAGTGACACCTTTGCTTTTTGATAAGTTCAGTGTATACAAATGTTATTTTATGCACAAAATCATTACAAATATTATATAAAACTATCTTCAGGCTATGTGCATTAGTTGTATAAGAAACAAAAATGAATTTTGTGTTTAGAATTTAGTCCGATCTCCAAAACATCTAATTATACACATATATGCAAGAACTAGTATTCCAAAATCAAGCATTTTAGATAAAGGATACTCAAGATATACTTCTAACCATGGCGACATTCATCTCTCCAATTTGTCTTGATGTCTGACACTATATCTCTCAAAATATAGAATTCACCCTAAGTGCAGTCTTATTCTTAAAAAAGAGAATGTGTAACGTACTTGCTTCCACTAACATAGATCTATGGACAATTTTGCAAATAGAATACACGGCCTAATTTACAGTTAATCACTAGGCATAAAGATTGACCCAGACAATGAGAACTATATGCTCAAGAAATGGTAATCTGTGCATGCAGCCGCTTTAAAATAATAAATGATATATTTTTTATTTTTAAAAATGTGTTCTTCAAAAATACTGGGTTGGTTGAAGACTCAAGCCATGCTGAAACCAATGGGACATATTTTAGTCATTACTCCCACCAATTTTATCAGTCTGTTCTAAGTATGATGAAATCTGAGACCAGCCCATTCACTATATGCTTCTGAAGTTTAAAACCTTAAATATACACTGTATGCATCATTTCATTGGAAAGAATAAAATGGAAAACTGTTTCATACCCAGCAGTCTAGTCTGTGAACTCATCAAAATACGACAAAGCATTTAATAATTCAAAACAGCAGCCCAATCTCAGTCATTCTTGAGAAATGCTTGAAAACCAGACAAACATTGCCAAAGTGTCATCTTAAATCAACTCTCACCTGGAAAAGATTACTTGTGTTACCTGGAAAGTATTACTTTGGTTCATAAAAAAAAATAGGATACCCTGACCTAGTTTTCTGGAGATTCTTCTGAATTAAATTTCCTTTATACATAGGCCACACGTACACTATTCCATGGGAGACAATCACTTGCTTAGATATTATTTTAATGCTTTGCCTACTTGGTGATTTATCAAATCATCTCAAGTTGGAATATACTTTAACACTTTTCCACGCACAAGAAAACTTATAGTATTCATTCTTGCTTTTCTTTCCTCTCACAAAAACGAACAAAATTAAAAAAAAACATATTTCCGTCATTAGAGAAAGAAGTAGGATGAGACATGTAAGAATTTCTTCAACCAATTCATATATTTACAGATTATGGCAGACAAGCAAGCATTGTGTATTACAATAGTAACTAAACAGAATTCATAATGTATTTGTATACAATGAAGGTAGCTAACAGAAAGGCCACAGCAAAATGAATAATCTCAGTATTTCTTGACTTTCCTGTGCAATGATACAGTAATGAATCTTGTCTCTAAGACATAAATGCTGTCTCATTCTCCACCTTTCCCTTTTGTATTTATTAAACCAAAAGAATTACTATGTGCACACAGAAGCAGAAGTACATTTTCAAAAAAAAAAAAGATGTAAGAAGTAAACTTATATTATCCAACTCATTCTTAACTCCCACCCTAATTAATCCTCAGACATCTTATATTTGCTACATCTTAGGAGCAGCTAAGTTTCATTGTATTCTTGAATGCTCGTAAAACCTATTTTCTGCATGGCCAAGTATCTCATTACCTAGTACATAAAATTTTAGTTACTTTCTCTTTATCATTTCAGAAAAAATGAATGCAAATCTCTATATGTATGAGTCAAAATAATAGGGTTTAATCATCTTCTGTTTCCAATTCTCTAATTACTTATGATATGAATGCACTCTTTCATACCATCATGTTTCTAGTTATACTTTTGAAAAACATAATACAACAATATAAATCAGTTAAAGGGTAAAAGCAGATAATCTTTACTGATGGAAGACCTCTATGAGCAGGACAAGGAAGGTCATAATTTTCAGGGATTACCATTCTGTGCTTCATCCTTCAATCCACCATGAAGGACTCCATGTGACACCTACTGAAGCAGATCTTCAGTGACACCTACTGAAGCAGATCTTCAGTAGGTGGTCAACACCATTCCCTGATTTCTTGATGAAAGTATCAAATGGACAGAGAAAGACACTAACTAGAATTCCACTTAAACCAATTAATTATTCACAGTGGAATCCTCAATTATACTGCCTGCCTTGCTTGCAAAAGGGTAACAAACTCTATTTTTAATTGTATTGTGACTCTAAGCTATTTATCATGTGTTGGCACTTAAATGGCAAAGCAAATTGAGCAACAAAAGTCACACATAATGAACTTTTTTTTTTGCAGAAGGTATCATTAAAATAAAAACCCAACTAAGCAATCAACATTATCCTGAAGGCTTGCTGTAATTTAAAATATTCACCTCACTTCTTTCTGATACTACCACTGTGGTTCACTCTAGATTCTCCCTTTTATTCTACGTGAACTGTCATAAGCCCTACTCCTTCCTGCAACTTCACATCTACAATTTTAAGGTTCTACATAAATATTTTAGTAAGCCTATTGAAAACCAGTAGAGGATAACTTCCTCTTCTTGCAATTCTGTTTCCTTTCAGATGTTTACAGAGTGAGCATGTTTCTTGCACAAGGGCTTGTCCTTCTTGGAGAAGAAAGTCTGACCCTCCAGACTGTCACAGCATATCTGAAAATGACACAAAATATATAGTTTGTAAGTCAAAATATTAAAGCATAGTCATTATAATACTTATTACATGGCCAATGTTCTACATCATTTAGATTTTGGGGGCACAAGAAATGGGACTTGCAACAAGATGTTGCAATGCGGAACGTTCCCCATTTAAGGTGCCAGCCAGCCACACCCTTTTCCATTTATTTCATTAAATTCCATACCATTCCTTCCAAACTTAGTCAGCAATCATGAAATACACTTAGTCCCCATTGGGCTGATTTGTAATTTATATCTCCTTTCAGGTCTTTTGTTCCCAATATTTTTTGATGGGTGAATTTACTAAAAGCACACTAAACGTCCTCATTCACATATCTAAATGTATTGTAATAGTTTCTAATGGTTTTATTTATTTTTAATAGTCCCTGGTTTAATTCTATTTTAGTGTTTATGTGTTTTAGATTGTATATTTTATTGCTTTTAGTACTGTTTGCTGCTCTGAGTGTCTTTTAAGATTGAAAAGCAAGATATAAAAAACAACAAGAAGCACTGTGAATTGGCTCTGGAAATTAGACCAGCAATCAGGGGAGATGTTGCAACAAGGGAATTTTCTCTGTACAAGAAAATATCATAAAATCATCAACCAATTAAATATATATTCTTCTAAAGATAATGGAATAATAGCAGAGTCACAGCAAAATAATCAAGAAAAAATTAAAACTTCCAAGATTTTGCAAGTACAATAATGAAAGGTTCAGCAGTCACAATCCTGGTACTTGGCACCAAAGAGGGCATAATTTATAAGAAGGCCTGAACAGCACGGTTAAAGAAAAAGCAAGGGGTCAGTTCTTCATTTCTAGAAAAGACATTCTATAATCTTTTTCCAGGAAAAGATTACTTGCATTCCTACTAATCTGATTTTATGTACAGATGGTGCTTCCATTAAACTACAGCTTTCTTTTGATGGAATGGGACTCCCTCAGAAGGACCAGACAGCAGCTCTGGATATACTGTTACATTCATTTCTGATCTTAGAAGTCAGACAGTGTCAGCATCAAGGAGTGTGTTTACCTCACTAGGGAAAGTAAATCTTGACTCAATAATCCATCATTTCATCATACCTTGTCTGGGCTAATGAAACACACACTACACTAAGCTGCACTTGACATGGCTTCAGAAACTTCATCCAATGGTGCCACTGGCCATACTTTTATTCCGTGTGAGTTTTACAAACACTGATTATGGATCATCTTCACTGTCATTCATTTTGTTTCCAAAATCACTAAAATGATAGTTTTTTCATATAATGTTATAAATACCTTTAGGTTAGGATGTCTGTTTGATTACCTCCTCCCATTATCTTAGAAAAGCACCAGAAGCCTCACCTTGGGGGGTTAGTCAAGGAATGAAAAGTAGAAACTTTTCTACAGAAACACCCTGATTTTGGAACTCTAGGGGACAAAAATAAATAAAGCCAATATAGTGATATTTGTACTTACTGAGCATACAAAGCAGGTATCATGCCAAGTGTGGCCCAAGGCTTCCAGGAACCTATCTCCAGCTTCAATGGGAAATTCACAACCATGGCACATAGTACCAAAGAGGGCATAATAATCTGTATAAAGTAAAAGCATAATCATTGGCATTTAAAAAAAAAACTTCCTTTGAAAAAAACAAAAACAAAACCCAAAAAGCACATTCCAGAACAAATGTTCTAACCATGTAGTGTTGTACTATCGTTCTCTAAATATATAAAAATGCAACAGAACAAGTACACATAGAATTGTTCTTTATGCCCGAGATCCTACAATGAAGCACAGCTCCATTCAGGAGGGGCTGCTACTTATCTGTGGGGAGGAGACAAAAAAAGCAATTTGGGTCATGTTGTAGCAGCTGGACTAATCTCTGGGAAGGGAGAAATAAATTGAGTTCCTGCTGTTGGCAATGTATTCACTGAAGTCATACAACACACATCAATGGATGACTATATCAATGACTCTTCCATGTAATTCCCTATAGTTTGTGTGAGTAATGTGTGTGTGTGGTTACAGCAAAATGTAAGCATGCCACTTTCATGGCCGATCTTTAATCTTGGCTTAAACATGCAAAACTTTCAGACATTATTTGCGGTTGCACCTTATAATAATAATAACAACTTTATTTTTATACCCCGCCTCCATCTCCCCGAAGGGACTCAGGGTGGCTTATAGAGGGACAAGCCCAATGAAACAGATAAGCAAAAACAATCAATAACAAAAAATAATAATATAAACATTAAAATAAATTAATATCATAAAAACTATACTCTGGCTGGCACCAACCTTAGCACCCAAATGCAGCAATAAAACAGGATTCCAAATGCAGCAATAAAACAGTTTATTGAAGAAAATATATATAAAAAGGGAAAATCACCAAAAGGGACAAGAAAGGCAAAATCTAACAGGTAATAAGAAAAGGTCATCCGTAAGTAAAAAAGCCCAACCAAGCTATTGAGAAGTAAGACACTTCAAAGGCAATAATCCAAATAATCCAAAGTGTACAGGAAAACAAGAGTCATAACATGAGCATAAATCCAGGGAAACAAGAATCAAAACATGAACATGAATCCAGAAAAACCGAGAATAGTATTTTTCTATTAGGAAAACCCATTAAGATCATAAAAGTGCTGAATGGGTGTACTACTGTGTGTGTGAATAGAAAAAAAGCAGAAACACAAATATCTGGTGTATTAATTCATAGAGTTATATCAAATACGTACAATAATCAATTACACTAAATAATTTAATTCTGTTAAAAAAATCAGCATTAGCCCATAAATACTGGCCTTAATAAAAGCAATGAACACAGCCAAGGCTGGAATATCAATGATGCACTTGAAGCAAATGCATAAGGGTCCTCCTTGACTAGAGGTCCTATGGTCCTGCTAATGGATTCTGTATGGTTTCATATACTACATATATCTTGCCCTGTGATGCTTCTGGGCACCATTTACCCCTTACTTTGTTGCTATTGCTCTGATGTGGAGTCAGTGAAGTGGTTGGTCCATAGTAGTTTGTGTAGCCTCTAACACCAGGAAGGAGATATGTCTGAAGCTGAACATAGTTGGTGGCTCTTGGACTGATACTGCTGCCAAGTCAGATGTGTTGAAGCATGAAACTGGCTCTCAAATGAGGAAACTCACACATGTGAGGAAAGAGGCACTGTTTTGGAAGTAATCCAGGACCTCAGCAGCCTTTATCTGGCCTTGAGCTAGGCCATGCTTTCACAATTTGAAGACGGCACAGTTTGTGCCCCGTGACACTCTGTTCTTTGCAGATATCCCTTGCGGCTTCTATAAACCATCAAGTGCAGCCTTGTCAGACCGAACAAGATACTCTCTCAACACAAAAGAACTTATCAAACTTGAGTGTTGGCTTTGATATAACAAATATATTGAAACAGTTGTTTAAAATCTGACAATGTTCTCTTCTCTCCTTTTCACAGTCTCATACTGAAAATGGGTGTATGCCTGTTTGATTTGGCTGGTGTTTACAGTTTCAAGAGGTTTACAAGCTTTTTAAACTTCCTTTTTACTGAAGACAGAAAACAGTAGCCATGGTAGACTGAAAACCTTCTGTTCCCTTTCCTTTTCAAACCTAGACATATAGTCTAAGATTTTTCTCCTGTTACGTTAACCATGGTAACAGCAGCATGAAGTAATCTATTCACAGAAAGTTTACAAAAGACAGGTCAGTGATGTGTAATAGCTTCATGCCTGGACAACCTAAACTGCAGTCTCTTATTCTATAATGCTAAATGAAATTCAGCTTTAGAGAAGATTGGGAAGAAAGATCACTGGATATAAGACTCTTAAGCTACTTTTTCTATTGTGTGATTTCACTACTTCCACTAGAAGCTATGAGGCTTCTCATGTTTTGGATTGCTTTGTACTGACTATCCCCTTAAATCGTGCCAGGTTTGAGGCATACTTTAGGTTGACATAGCAATGTTTTATCCTGTGCCAGAAGGCTATTTAGCTAACTCAATCACTCAAAAAGGTCAGACCCAACATGTCACCACCAAATATCTTACAAATAAATAATCTTAGAATAAAAATATTCTGAAGCAAACATAATGGTGATTTTTGAATTCTATATTTTGACAGTTTGTAATAAATATTGAGCATTATGAAAAAAATCCATAATGAAATTAGAAAAACCTGCAACATGCATTCCTATTTCAAACATATGAATTGGCCATCCTTTACTTGAGTATTGCTACTTTTATAGGTTGTACCTTCAGTGGCTGTTAATTATCAGATGTCAGAATAATAAAGTACTGGAAGCAAAGCTGATCCAAATGCTTCCTTTTGTTCATTTGGATGAACATGGACATATTAAAATCAAATTCAGTCTGGCAACCCTGTTTCAATTTCATATTTTTTTATGCAAGTCTAAAATTGAAATAATGAAAAATATGGCCTTTTTCGTTTTTGATACCCGATTCAAAATCAAATAGTATATTTTTGTTTTGTTTTTTCATGGTAAATTGGAAAAGGAAATGAGTGATACATGGATTCGCATGGCTCTCACTGTTTTTACACTTCTGAATAAGATAACTGTTAATGTTATTTTCCTGTTCACATGTTTTGAATTTAGAAGTTCAGGTGAGCATTTAATAGTGAATAATATGTAATATTTCAAATAAACCTAGTTATGTTTAATCTTCCAGATAGACTTTTTCTTCATTTTGTGTGGTCTTCTAATATGAAAGGCAATGTGATCTTAGTACAAACTTGTTTATTTGTGTTCCATGTAAAGAAAATTTTCAAAATTTCATAAAATAGTTCATTTACATTTCATGTTAATAGTTCAAAGAATGTCACTCTGGATGGTTGGTCCCTACACATTTTCACCTCACCAAATCTGGCCCTCGTTGCAAAAAGTTTGGACACCCCTCGGTTAACACCTCTGTGGTGTTTGTTTTGCTACCTGTGCCCCTTTTCAGAAGATTTCACCTCACTTTCTGTCTCTGTGACAACTGGATTTTGAAAAAAAAAACGCCTTGTTGTGTAAAAATGGGTTAGCGAGAAAGCTTCAGTTGTGACGCCTTTATCTCATGCTAACTCCTTTCAGGAATGAATTTCCCTTCCAAGGGGTAAATTTCTCTCACTTCCTATTGTCTCACCCTTGTTCTTAACTATGAGTCATTTGTAAGTCAGATGTTTGTAATTCTGGAACTGCTTGTAGATTTAACTGGAGGAAGCTATATTTTTCAAATGTTCATGGTACTTCATAAGCATGAAGTAGGTCTATTACTACTACTACTAGTACTACTACTATTATTTATGGCACAACAGCTATGCAATAAACAATGTCACTCAGTAACAAGAAAATTAGCAGATTACACAGAAATCATGTTTAAAATAAGCTAGCATGCTAGCAATTCAAAAAATTATTTTTTCTCCTGTATTTTTCCCTGATTGCCATTTGTCACAATGGTTATCTAACTATTGTGACACTCACCTGTCTCACAGTAGGGATCACCATCTTCCAGGTGGAAAACATTGTTCCGAATGGGCTTGTGGCAGGCCACACACACAAAGCAGGAAACATGCCAGGTTTGTTTCAAAGCATTTATTACTTCCTGGAGCAGGAGAGATTTTTTTTGGGGGGGGGGGGGGGGATACAGAAATTGCAATTTTAAATTAGGAGAATTAATGTGTACTGTTTAAAGAAACAGGACACAAACACTCATTTGAAGAAAGGTAGGTCTTGAATCACAGAACCACTCAAATCTACAGCTACTGCTTTATGGAAATCAGAAGTTGTAAAACAAAGAATGCAGAAAAACAATTATGCAGCCTGCATTGGTAAGGTGATTTTTACACTGCCATGTAACATTTAATCCCAGTTAAACAACAAGGATGATTTTTTTTTGTCGTGTCAGGAGTGACTCCTGGTGTGAGAGAATTGGCCTTCTGCAAGGACGTTGCTCAGGGGACGCCTGGATGATTTGATGTTTTTATCATCCTTGTAGGAGGCTTCTCTCATGTCCCCACATGAGGAGCTGGAGCTGATAGAGGGAGCTCATCCGCCTCTCCCCGGATTCGAACCTGCAACCTATCGGTTTTCAGTCCTGCCGGCACAGGGGGTTAACCCACTGCGCCACCGGGGGCTCCTAACAAGAATGATGATAGCAATAATAATAATATCCTGCCTCTCCCTGCGGCTTGAGGTGGGATTATTCACTAAAAGGTTGTGTAACTCCCTCTCAATACTTAAACCATGGTTAAGAGGGCCTTTTCACCCAATCAGGCCTAGTTTTAACCCCAGGGCTCTAAATTCCAGGTCACTAATTTACTCAGAGGATCTATGTTAAAGGTTTCCAACAGCAAGTCCAAACCTTTAGTAACTTCTTGAATTATTACTTACTCCCAGTATCTTCCTCTGGCATCGGGTGCAGTCCGGGGCAAAAAACTTCTCATAACAGCCTTCGCAATAAAGAGCTCCTTTCTCTTCTACAAAGCCAATGTAAGCCATGGAGGTTTTGCAGTGGGAACAATTAAACTCCTCTGGATGCCAGGATTTCCCCAAGGCCACTAGAAAAGGCCCTCTGTTTTAAATAAACAAACAAAAAATGTTAGAAATTTGCTACCAGAAGCATGGAAATGTAAATTAATGCCAAATTCTCATTCAGTGGGGCATAGTTAAGTACAGTATGACTCCCTGTATACATTTTCCATGTGGATACATGAAACTATGGATAATAGTGAACATTTTTAAATGAACAACTTCTGGTGGAATTATACCATCGGGTTTTGCTGGAGGACGCAGAAAATGCCCAGAAAGAATACCTCTGTAGGCATTCCTAGTGCAAAACTATGGTTAATTTCCAGCAGAAATATACCACAGAATTTCCTTGAGAACCTAGACAATACCTAGAGAGGGCATATTTTGTTACAGATGGGTAAACAAAACTGCAGATTATGCTTTAAAAAAGAAGCATTCAGTGAGCATTTGCATTTCTTAAAACGTTGTCTGCTAAAGAAAACAAACAAGATTATGAACGTAGTATTTAGAACCAGCAATGTATTATTCACAGCTGAAATCAAAACTAATTTGAGAATGCAAGCTAATGAAGCTTTTAAAATAAAATTAGCCATGTTGGAACTGAGCTATATTTCAACTAATTACAACACAGCCACAGGCATTACCTTTATGCTTCGCCTTAAAACAGAACACTAATTTTAAAATGTGAATAAAATACTGTTGTTTTTTTTATTTCAGAAAATAAGCAGTCTGGGCATTTGTGTATTCAAATCACCTGTCAACCTACTGCAACTCCATAAATTTCATATGCTTTTCTTAGGCAAGGAATACTCAGAGATGGTTTTACATTGACTTACTCTGAAATATAGCCTATATCACCCAGCATTTCTTGGCAGTCTCCCATCCAAGGACTAGCCACTGGGCTTAGCTTCTAGCATCATATGGGATCTATTTCCTTCATGGAATCCCACAAATCAAAATATTTATTTATTTATTTATTTATTTATTTATTTATTTATTTACAGCTTTTATATTCCACCCTTCTCACCCCACAGAGGACTCAGGGCAGATTACAGTGTACACATATATGGCAAACTTTCAATACCAATTTGACATGCAACATATACAGACATAGACAGAGGCTATTTAATTTTTCTGGCTGCCAGGGGAGCTGTCACTTTCATCGTCCATCTGCGACACTGATGAAGTACTTCCGCATTCCCCGCATGCTTTTGCTGGAGTCTTTTTTTTAATGGCCTCATAAATTAGTTAATTTAGCCTCCCCACATTTTAAGGTGGTACCTTATTTTCCTACTTGACAGATGCAACTTTCGGGTTGCAAAGGCCGACAACAGGCTACACAATGGTTGGAAACCCACTCCCACCCGGGCTGGCTTCGAACTCATGACCTTTTGGTCAGAGTGATCTTAATGCAGTTGACACTCAGCCAGCTGCACCACAATATAGCCCAAAATTCAGGATTTGCAATCGCTAATTCTGTAACACAACCAAAGTGAACTCTCTACTGGAGAATTAGAAAAACTTGATAATTATACTATAATTAAATTTCAGCCAACTCGAATATCACATTCTTAATTTGACCATTTTTCTCTACCAAAGAACTGAGTCTATTAAATAGCTGGTATTTGTTAATACAACAATTTCAGTGTCTAGTACAATAATGTATGTTATTTCAATTTGTAAATCCATTTTTATATTGACATAGCTCCTAGGTAACATACTGCAATGAGTCTTTCAAAATATTTTTTTAAACAATTCCTTAATGCAACTTCAAGAAATCAGTTTAGAATTCAAGAGACGACCCTGCTGGCATGCGGTAACCTGAACAGTGCAAACACTGACCTAACCTGATACCCTCCAACCTCTGTACAAGCACCTTTTTACATCAATGCCCTTTCAGTTATGTAGCGATCAAACAATACAAGTCCTTATGTACAACAAAGTGCTCTCTTCTCACTGTGTCAGCACAGGCTAATTTACCCAACTCATTAGGGAAGGACCAACACTGAAGAGGTTCTTCTGGCCCCAGGTAGGATCATGTTTCCAACTGTCTGCTCTAATATGATATATCTGAGTATGAACAAAGCAAGAAGCAGGTATGTGGTATTTTAGCACCATCTGTTACATTTCTCAGGAAATGTTTATGCATACAATATTTCAGTTGTCTAATGCCATTTTACAGCATTGGCATTATGACAAAGCCTGCTTAAATCAGTATTAAAGCCAAGTTTAAAACATATGCATACCTTTTTCCAGTATTTCATTATATTCAGGACATCTTACTGAATTCTATAGCTTTTTTTTTTGTCGTGTCAGGAGTGACTTGAGAAACTGCAAGTCGCTTCTGGTGTGAGAGAATTGGCCGTCTGCAAGGACGTCGCCCAGGGGATGGCGGATGATTTGATGTTTTTATCATCCTCGTGGGAGGCTTCTCTCGTGTCCCTGCATGAGGAGCTGGAGCTAATAGAGGGAGCTCATCCGCCTCTCCCCGGATTCGAACCTGCGACCTGTCAGTCTTCAGTCCTGCCGGCACAGGGGTTTAACCCACTGCACCACCGGGGGCTCCAATTCTATAGCTATAATTCTATAATTCTATAATATAATTATATTATATAATTCTATAGCTGACATTAGCCTATACAGTGCATAAATCACCTCTATGATTCAGTGATTTGGATGGCAAAGCCGTGCTTGTGTATAACATGTGAATTAAAAAAAATGGAAAAACAAAACATAGGATGCATGGGATGCCTTTAGGGCTCACCACAGAAAACTAAGCCCCCCACTCCCCTGTGCATTCAGATATGACAATTGCTTGAATGCTCTACTTGATATAGAATGTGATTTATGATTGATATTTATCAATGACTGAAGATAGTTTGAAACAAAACCTGCTCCAAGGGCCATCTTCCTGCACTTACTTGGTTTTCTATTACTATGGTAACTTACAGAGATTGAGGGCATGTTTAACAATGGATCTATAATGTGCTACATGTATGAATTTTTTTTGAATGAAATGAGAACAGACTACTTTCTTCACCTGGTGTGAGACTTATCTAAGCATTACAACAACTCAAACAGTACTGCTGCAAGAGATGTTTGTTGAATGGTATAAAGTTTGCTAAAACCACAAAGTAGTCCAAAAGTTGATTTCTTAAAGGTACCCACACTATGGTGTATGTTACAAACATTTAATAGCTACTTTATACACAGGAAAAGACGTTTGCCTTGGGTTTTATTATATTCTGTAAAAAAGTTTTTACAATTGCCCATTCAAATGAGAAATGTATCAATAATTAAAGAAAAAAATTAAAAAGTTATGAGATGCCCTTGCTTAAATTTTAGGCATGTCATGGTTATTTTATGCCTTCTTGTAAACTAATCAGGCTTACAGTATGGTTTGGCTGCAAAACATATGTGCAGAGGAATGTCATTTGATCCAGTTCTTACCTTTTCATAGGTAATACTGTCTCAAAGGGCATGAACTGTAATTATAGTAAAACCTCAATCCTGAAAGCTATCATAACCTCCCAAAAGCATTCTAGTGCAATAGTGTCATGAAAATATGATGTGTTGACTAAAATAATTCAAGTGACCTTAATGTATATTCTTATCACTTATCTTTTGCTTTCATCCATGCTATAAATTTAAAGTGCTTGTCTGCCTGTTATGCTATTCAAATCTATATGCTTGATAACAAAGTTACAAATCATGTCATATTGTCTAGCAAAACCGGTTGGTATGTTGCCTACCTTCTGAACACACATGTTGGATTTCTGTACCTTTCTGCTCTAGATTCTCATTTGATCAAAAGTGGATCAAAATGTACATTCTAATTTAGAATACACATTGAAAAGCCAATTTTGACAATATTTGATTTCCAGTCGTATGCAAACATTCTAAACAACTTTGTGCACAACCAAGATTGATTTGGAAATTCCTTCTTACCCCCTCCTCCCACCCTAAGAAAAAAGATTTCAACAACACATTTTTGTCTGGAAAGAGATTTTTAGGATTATTACCACTCAAATGCATGCCTCATTCAAATTGTTAGTGAAATGACTCATATCAACGCACACACCATCAGGTATATCTGCTAGTATGTTAAAAATGCACTAGGCAAATCTGATTTCTGGTATCTGTATCCAATCCTGCATATATCATTAACAACCTTGCTGATTCTCTGGCTGAAGTGATGACGGAAGAGGAACATTTCACTGCCATGAAAAGAGATGTTGGAAGGAAGCAATGGGCAATTGTTCATCATCCCTTGGCGATCGTCCTACTGTAATTATGTATTTATATATCTTTATCAAGTTTCACCTGCTTGGCTAAATTACTTATTACTGTTCATTGTTATGTTGCCACTTTTTAGACATAAAAGTGATACAGCATAACATTCATTTCATGTTATGCTGTATCTCTTGTCTATGTGCATGCATTTGTAGACAGACATATATCTTTTGTGGCTGATTTCCACCCTCATCTCCCAATTACCACTTGGCAATCAAAGAGAGTTACTGCTTGATAGCTAATTCGCCACATCTTATTATGCCATTAATAATTGTTGCTTTCAGTCCACCAGCTACTTTAGAGAAGCTGTTGATGAGAGTTACAACTTGAAAATCCTGACACATATCATTGTGCATCTACATATTGCATTTGGAAGCAATTATTCTTACCATTTGTCTAGGCTACCATAACATCTTCTACACGTAGTTTAAACTTCTGAACTTGACAGCCAAACTCCTAAGAAACCTTCATATACACGAATTTTAGCAATTATATATCATTCCTGTACAAAGTTCATATGGAAGCAAATAAAAAACAGTTCTGCATTCCAAAGAAATTATCTAGTGCTTCCTATTTTGATTCTATGCCCTCCAGTATTTGCTTTTTAATGTATTTATATTCAGGGTTTCGCTACAATTAATAATAACCTTAGCCAATATTTACATATTTGTTCTATGTTTCGTTTCTAATGTTTCTTGTCCACCATATCAGTTTATTTCTTGCCCACCATATTGGTTTTCTTAGTTTCAAAAACTTTTCAAGGCTTCTTGGATTATCTGATGATTGACTGATTTCTTCATAATATGGCTTGAATTTATATTTATGTAAGTTCCTCCCTTCCTGAATCCCAAGTGTCATTTAATCCAGTTCCATCTGAAGCTTCAAGATTAACTGATTTATTTCAGTATGAGCTTTCAGTGATATGAATCCCATGCTGAAATAAATAGTCATGCAGATTGAAATCTATGAAATAAATTACTTAGGCTCCTAGAATCCTTCCCCTTCCTCTTTTTTTATGGCATAACAGGTTTACAAGGGCTGTTCTTTGAGAATTCATACAGTTATATCTGAGTGGTTCTAATTTAAATACATATGCGTAAAAGATGAAATAATGACCTCTTTGAAATTGTGTGCTGGAAGCCAAATATTTGTAATTGTACATCACATAGCACTCAATGTCAAAAAAATGTTCAATAATCTCAGTCTATGGATGGAGAATTATTCCTCAAGGACAAACTGTACAGATTAACAATTCAAAAATTACATGTAAAACATATACAGAAGTGCAGGAGGGAATCTACAAACCTAATTACTTGATTGCAGTGGGCACACATTGGAGTTCGCTTTCCTGCTGGAATATGTTCTGCTCGCTGAACCAAGGTGTCTTCATCCGTTAATACATCTGCTGTAGTTTTTTCGCTTGAGACAGTTGCTCCAGATCCAATAGTACTGTTTGATATCCAACCACTTCCAGCTACAATAAAATAAAATTGATGCAAATTTTAACCTAGGCATGCAGAGATAGGGGTAATACCCTTAAAAAAGTTTTGAGGCTCAAAACAGAATTTCTATATGGGTTCACAGATCTCTATGTGATGTTTAAGAACACTGAAACTTTTTAAAGAATTTCCAAATGTATACAGAGATGCTATCCAAGGAGCAACTAAGAACATAAAGACATAGAAACTAAATTTTCAAGAACTTTTAAAATTACAATTTAATCAAAATATTTTACCAAATGACTTATTAATGAGATAAATTTAATTCAAAGATATACAAGAATAATCAGGAATTCCAAAATGCTCCAAAATTGTTTACATAGGTGACTGAGATAGTGACACTTTTGGTTTCTGATGGTTTAAAGTGCACAAAATATTGTGCATAAAATTAAAGTGTATATGCAACAAAAATGAATTTCATGTTTAGATTTGAGTCCCAGCTCCAACATATCTCTATGTACATATATGTAAATGCAAGTATTCAAAAATAATAAAAAAAACCAAAATCCAAACAGTTTGGGTAGAAGATACTCAACCTGTATTTAAAGAGTTTTCAAAAAGACCCAATAATAGTTAAAAACAAGCTGTCAAATCTTCCACTCAAATGCAGAATTCCTACTGACATATGCAATCTGGATGACAGTCATGGTTATTGCTGCTCTATGTCTAATACCAGAGAGTTCAGATGAGTTAGTATTATGGATCATCTTTCTATTGTCAATACACATCTCTAAAATGACTTTTAGGACAATTTGAAAGCAACTGTAATCCTACCGTGTTTGAATGCTAGTACAGCGTGACTAAATAGCAAAACACCAGAAAATTAAATAAATAAAACTTTAAGCAAATAAATTAAAATTGGATGGTATGCTAGAATTAAGTGAATATGGACAGAAGTCATAAACTGTAAGGGAGAGAAAATTTCATAACATGATAAGAAGTGAAACTTCTTGTTTGGCCATAATGAAGAGGAAAAAAATCTCTTTGAGAATTGGTGTTTCGGGAATAGTGTCCTGAGAGTCTCTCTGCAGCACAGCATATAATACTAGCAAAGCCAATATTCACGTGCTAACATAAAAGGTACCAAAATAGAGAAAGAAGAGCAAGATACCATCAGAACTCATGACTCCAGATCCCTTGTTATTGTGTGCCTTTCCAATTTATGGTGACCCTATCACTAGGTTTTCTGATTTGTTCTTTACAAGAGAGCAAATAAACAAGCCATGGAATGGTGACAAATCCAAATATATTTAGGGTGCTAAATAACTGATGTGTGACTGTGAAGAGATATCATACATATTTGTGTATAAATCAACCTCATGTATAAGTTGAGGATAGATTTAGGGGCCCAAATTATGTCTTTTCATATGACCCATGAGTGTCATTCCAGAGTGGAAAGCACCAATGTCATCTCAGATGGTGCATTTATTTCTGTCAATAGCCAGGTTATTTAAAAAAAAGACTGAAATTCAGCATAGACAATAAACATCTAGCTAAAATGCAGGTCAAAAAGGCAGCAAGGGTTGCAACTGTTAATAGATAAACTGTACATACAAAATGGCTGGAAAATTAAAAGAATATAGACATTTCAAAGAAACGAATGTAGCTCAGAGTTAGTTGGGCATAGGTTTTCCATACTAAAGATACTAAATTCAGGCTCTAACAACTGTAGATAGATCTGGAAAATCCCTTAATTGGAAAAGAAACTTTTGACCCATTAAGTGTTTTGGACAACCACTTCCACAATCAAAGCCCAAGAGTGTTGGAACTTCTTGGAGGCTTCCTTCTCCATGGGACAATAGATCTGTTCCATGTTTTAGTTAAAGTTTTAAAGGAACTATTAAAGACACTAAATCCTACTGCTAAAGATGCTCAGACCTGCATAATTCACCCAAAGTTTTGTTTAAAGCTTATAGAGGAGTCATTGTCTCTATGGCCCAAACCAATTAGTGAAAAACATCTGGAAGGGCAAGAGTTCTCCACTTCCATCTTACAGGGGCATTGTTGTTCAAAAAATAGCCAATACTGCAGTAGATGGACCAATGATTGATTCTATATAAGGCAATCTTCTATGTTCTTAATATGGACCTGAAGTACTCATGATATAGAGCTATATGGGCATCAGTATAGAGAACACCTAAATGAGCCCTCATTCATATCTAATCTATGACATTAATTTTTCATGTACTTTTGTCAAATCAATAGAAGAGCTCTCTGATTTTTCCAATTTAACCTATGATCAACTTCAATATCATGTATTTTTATCAGCTTGTTTTGCTCATTCCGTTCAAAGATTCAATTAGTCACTAAATTTTGTGAAGCTGACAAAGTGGTGGAGCTTAGGTCAGTTTAGAGATAATGCTGGCACCTTTCTAAAACATTTCCACTCCTTAAGGCAACAGGAAGTATATGAACACTTTACACCTCAACTAAGTGAGATTTCAGGAACACACCCCTCTCTCACACACATATGCATATACATTCTTTCTCCCATACACACACAAACCAGAAGAGATTATGGTATTACGGGTAGAGTTGGAAAATGTAGTTGTGTTTGTAAACTGCTATCTCATATCTCTAAAGTAGTCCACTATGACTCAGTTATTATTCCATAGCAGTTTATTTTGCATTATAAATGTCCTTCAACAACCTTCATTATAAATGTGCTTCAAGTCTACAAGTGGAGATAGCAGAAGTAGGAGAGAGTGGTTTTGTCAAAGAAAAGCTTTGTCTGGTGTTGCTTTGACAAATTGCATTTTTGAATCCAGCCCCACATAGTTTGCTGCTTAATTTTCCAGAAGTCAGCTAATAGGAAAATGGTTAGATAGTGTTAGATTGCCAAAGGAAATGTGTTTGTGTAGTTTTGTCTATCTCTAACAGTTCGAACAATGGCGCAAACCTATTTGTGGGATATTTTCTCTCTGTTGAAGCAGTATTCTTTAGAAAACTGTTCTATCCATAACTATTTTTATAACAGCACAATATGTTCCCTGGGTGACAAGCTTACTTTCTAGAAAAACCTGCAGGAGCTCATTTTCTTCATATATTCTAGGTAAAGCCCTGGAACTTAGAAACAGAGGAAGTTATTGAAACCTAAGTAAGACTTGACACAAACTAAGCCGTATCTGGATCAGCTTTTGTTCCAAACCCAATCAATCATTTTTTTTTATTTCTGTGTCTTCACTTTTTTTTTGCCCTGTCAATTTAAGATATTCCTGGTATCTTGTAAATGCTTAACTCTGAGTGAACAGAAACTGCCAATGTTTAGTTCCTAGACTTTTCTACAACACACTGTGAACTCACAGAAAAAGAACAGAAAGGATAGAATTGGGTCCAGGAAAACAGGACTCATTTGCTAGACTGGCAAAGTCATTTTTTCAGCTTTAATTTTTCAACTATAATGGATAGAAAAGTATCTCGCTTTTTAGAGAGTATAACAAATAATGAATTCTAAAAATAATTTTGCAAATAAAGCATGGTGAGTATGCACATGTACCTTGAAGTTGCGTGTATACACAAATGTTAAATATATCTAAACCTTTTCTAACTGAAAGGAATTCAGGGACTTTAGAATGCCTTCCCGAGGATCTCTATGGGGAAAAAGTATTTGGAATCTTTGCTGTGCCACTTTCCTAAAGAGATTAGAATGGCTCCCTCCCTGTTATCATTCAGGAACAGGCCTTCCCTGAAGGAGAATGAACGCTAGACCTATCGTGTGTAATATCTGAACTAAACTGGACTTTCAGCAATGGACCTAACCATGGCCTAAGCGAGTTAATTACTAGATGGGATTTTTAACCTATTGAAGGTTTTAACCATCTTTCATTGTGGTTTTTGTTTAGATTTTAATTATATTCGAGTTTTATTAGATGGAAATGTATTTATGATGGGATCGTTTATTGTCATTGTATGTGTCGTCTTTGCTTTTTATATGTTGTTTGCCTTTGAGTTCTGCTGTGGGAAAAAAAGATAGAAATAAATAAATAAATAAATAATAAAAATAATAATTGTGATTTGGCACAGTAATTTCTCCACCCCGGAACTAGTTTCTATTACAGTTGAGTCTCGATTATCCAACATAAACGGGCCAGCAGAACATTGGATAAACAAAAATATTGGATATTAAGGAGGGATTAAGGAAAAGCTTATTAGCAACAAGACATTGCAATGTATTGAAACAGCTGTGGATCCAGGCAGGAGGCAGACTGAGTTGGATAATACAGAAAGTTGGACGAGCAAAGGTTTGATAAGCCAGACTCTACTGTATATTGATATTTCCCCCACTCCCTTAGCCTGTGTGGATGTGGGAGACAAATCTGCTGGCCACAGAGGGTATTATTTTCCCTTTCTATAGATGATTGTCCTTGTTTCCCTTCCGCTCCCTCACCCATATTGTGCTTCAGTAGTTATATTTATATTTTTAATGTACCAAATTTGTATGAAAATGTGACTCTATTTCTTGTGCTGGTCAATGACCGAAATAAATGATTATATGTGTGTGTGTGTGTGTGTGTGAAAGGATATGTTTTATTTTCTACAAGGACACCACTTTCTTTTCTTTTCTTTTACTTTTTATATTATTCAATAGCATTTCCACTTTTTATATTATGTTTGTCATGAAAGCAAACATGACACTATTTAGGGCAGACATGAATAGCACACACTGATACTGTCCACAAATAATAAATCAAAGTACAGTACTAATAAATAATTACATCAGGGGAGTAAAATCCTTCTCCAAAGATTCTCCTCCCCCTTGCAACAATACGTAGTTGTTTAATGCATATTTAAACATAAAATCAGACACCACGTAATGTCTGTAAATAAAAGAACTACTTCCATGAATGCAAACACAAATATTTTATTTTGAAGTGTTGTAATCTGATCAATTATATAACACAGTCATACTACTGTGTGGCAGCTGGACAAAGGTTCTTCAGAAGCACATCTGTGACAATATACTCTTATATAATAA